TGAATTGCCTCTTTCTATGTTGTATGATTCTATGATTCTATGCTTTTTCACTTTACGATTAACATTTTTTTTCACAAGTGGGACTGCAGGTAAATTAAAGCAGTTCTGAGTGATTCCAGGACTGTTTTTCTGGTCAACCGGAAATCTATTCTATTCGGAAACCCGTAACCAAAGCAAACATCCAATCCAGTTCCATGTATGCCACAGACACTTGGAAAGTTCCCTCTGTCTGGAACAGAACGTGTGCACTGGCTCCCTGGAGAGATACACAATGCTTACCTAATTCTGGAGAGTATCAGGTACACGCTGCTGAGAGCCAAGGCTTGGGGACTTGTGCTGTGGACCTGCCTGGCTCAAAACCTGAACTACCAAGGCCACCACAGAGGACTGAGTCATTTCTGACAGTCCTTTGCCAAGCACATCACCTTGAAACTAATTCAGCTCCATGGAGACCCCCACTTACCTCCATCCCAAGGAGGACAGTCACTAGTCACTAAGTGCTCTGGGACGCTACCCTGCGTGAGTAGCGCTAAATAAATGCAAGTTGTTGTTGTTGTAGTTGGTCATTCTAGGCCTGGTTGACAACACCAGTGTGGCTTTTCAGATGAAGTATCAAAGAGAAATTCTGTATCAATACAGCGTGCATATTAATTGAAGTTTTAATGCTAGTTATATCTGTGGCTTTCTTACTACTACTAATAATAATCCTTGCATTTGATATCGCGCTTTTCACGTCTTCTAGACGTCTCAAAGCGATTCACAGAATATACTGTAAAGTGAATTGACTGTATATTTGTGGGCGAAGTGCAGCAGCCAATTGCTCACAGCAGTGTCCCACAAACAGTCGTGGATCGAGGTGACCAATTTATTATTGTTTCATTTTTCTGCTTCTCTATCATGTCTATCACTCTTCCTGACTTGGGGGTGCGCTCCCTGCAATTGCAAGCTCGATTCTGAAGCCTGGTCAGTAGAGAAAACACGATTAGCTCTGGGTGTCTCAAAAGCTCATCTGTTCTCCCAACCAGCAGGAAGGCAGCTGGCTTTCATTCAGCACCTCACCTGAAGGCACAAAAATCAGGAATCATTACTGGGCCTCAGTGCTGTTAGTGAGGAATCGCGGGCACAAATCCACCTCATAACACCCAACGACACCTTCTGTTAAAACATTGCCAAATTACTTCAGTCCCAGTAATGGGTCATTTAACTAATCTTGGAACAGCATCTTGAAGCAAACAGAGACTCGCTGTGCAATGGCAATCTGCACTTCAGCCAAACCACTGAATGATAATCCTTTTAGAATAGATTCTACATTTTCCAATGAACAACTGCAGATTATGTTTCAAATAAGCCTGCAGTAATGATTGCCACAACTATTAATGTTGCTGTGCAAACAGTATCATGTATCAAAGCATACTCAGGCATGGGCTGTATGTGGAGAATAAAATAAAATTATTCAACAAAGAAACCAAGAAACATAAGAGATACTGAGGGCTGAGCTGAAGATCGTGATCTAACCTTAGTGTTCTGGAACAATCTTCCACCTTGCACCCTCCTTCCCCATTTTCAGGTCACATCTGAAGACCTTGCTCTTTGACCGTGCCTACGGTCACCTTTTGTTGTAATCCTCCCCCTTTGTTTTGCATCATTAACACCTCTTTAACCCATCACCCCCTGTCCTTTACCCCATTTTCTCCTTTGCCTTCCTTACCCTGCCTCCCCCCTCTTTCTGTTAGCCCTTAAGAGCCTTTCCCTTACAGCATGTGCCAGTTCTGACGAAGGGTCGTGGACCCGAAACATTGACTCACTTTCCTTTCTCCATAGATGCTGCCTGACCTGCTGAGTGTTCGAAGTGACATCTGTTTTGGTTTCTCTTCAACCGTGCCTTCAGCTCCCACTTTTGACTCTCTACCCCCTCCTCGCTCCCTCCCTTCCCTCCCCATCTCGCTCCCTCCCTTCCCTCCCCTCACCCTGACCATTTCCCCCCTGCACGGGTCCCGACCCAACTGTCCAGTGCCTTGGGACTTCCTCCCGACGTGAAAGGCGCTCTATAAATGCAATCTTGTTGTTGTTGTTGTTTCAGATTTCGAGGAACTGCAGTATTTTGCGTTTTGTTTTAACAATAATAATCCTTGCATTTGATATACTGCCTTTCCAATCAGGAAGTCGTCTCATAGCGCTTCACAGGATTTACTGTAAATTCAAGCAACTTTGTATTTTGAGGCGAACACAACAGTCAATTTGTCCACAGCAATGTTCCACAACATCACTGACAGTGAATGACAAATTCTAACAATCTGACAAGACACAAAGCTCCTTCCCAACCAAAAGCCTTTTCAAGATATTTCCAGTTCATTCCAGATTGCACACTGTATCTTTCAAAGCTCAGGGTATCAAAGCAATTACGGTTGGCATTGTTGAGCTGAATGCATTGAAGTGCTTGTGTTGTAAACCTGAAAAAACCCTGGGCACAGTTTGTTTCACATTCGCTTCTGTTTGAGACGTATGGCCTTGGCTATGACCGAGGCTGAAATTCGTGCTCAAAGCTGGGAGACAGTTTGGTTTCAGGAACGCTGTTACATTAGATCTATGTGACAGGACACTGTGCTTACCTTCAGCGGCAGCCAAGGACAGGCAGGTACCTCTGTTGGTGACGGCCACCATTTCTGGTTTAGCTCTCAAGCTGCCTGAACAACCCAAAGCTGCACACAGTATATGACTGGCCTGCCCTTTACGTTCTTCAGAGGTCACAGAGGGCTCCATTGAGCAGAAAATGAAATTGAATTTCACAATTTCAAAACTGCCCATTGCATGAGCTTCTTGCACTTGTGCAGTGGACTGTATGTTTTTGATGGCGATGATGAAATCTCCCCACAGTGTAATCAGAGTTAATGCCACTGTGTTACAAGCTCAGAATAGTGCAGAACCACGGGAAACGATTGGACTCCTAAGGTGGATGTTGATAGGCTGTTTCTATTTCTTGGTGAGTTCAAAACTATAGAACATGATTAATAATAATAATAATCCTGGCGCTTTATCATGTCTTTGAGACGTCTCAAAGCGCTTCAGAATATACTGTAAAGTTATTGAAAATGCGATAAATTATGTGATAACCAGTAACAGATCTAATTGGGAAATTAGGAGGAACTTTATCATGTCATTGAGACATCTCAGTGTTTTACAGAATACACTGTAAAGTGAATTGACTGTATATTTTGAGGGAGAAACACGGCAACCAATTGCACACAGCAGTGTCCCACAAACAGTTATGGATTGAGTTACTAAATTATTATTACTATTATTTTTTCTGAAGGGATCACTGGAAAGTGATACACCAATCAACTAACAACCTGGTTCCTGTTTACTGTTGGGTAAACAGAGGCATGTGGAGTAAGGAAACTTGCCTAAGGTTTCACCTTGCCTGGGAAACTTATTATAATTGTTGCAAGCGATCATATATTTATGTTTGTACTTGCCAACAAATGGAAACAGGCTGTGAATATCCATCTCATTGAATCCTTTCATAATCTTAAATGTCTCTATTAGATCCCCTCTCAATCTCAATTGTAAACACGCCACACAATGAGAACCAACATTAGCAACCTGACAATGTTTCCCTCCCATGGCTACCTTGCTTACAAAGATGACTTTGTACTTTGTTTCACAATAAACTTTTGTTTCTCATCACTTATACAATGCACATAAGACTCAAAACATTGACTGGGGAATGGTGTCTGCACCCATTTCCATAATATGATTTAAGTAGCATGATAATTTGTGCAGTTGTGCATAGATATAAATCGTTATAGTTGTATTTACTAAGAGAGCAAAATGAATGTTCCACAACAATAGATCAGAATATGAAAGCAAAAGCTATGTGAAAAGCAGCTTAATTCTGTAATGCGCTTATCTGAGCAAATCTGCATTACAATCAGGAAAAACAAAATCTGATCCACAACTAGCGATGCAATTGAACAGATCAGACTGGATTACTGGGGAAAAAGAACCTGATGCAATGTGTCTTTAATAATAATCTTTGGATTTGATATAGAACCGTATCACACATCATCAAGAAATCTCAAAGAGCTTCAGAGGAATTACTGTATTTGTATGTGTAGTTTGTAGGCGAACGTGAGTGTCTTTCATTTCAGGAGAACGTCTCAAAGTGCTTCGCAGGATGTACCTTAGAATGTAGTCACTGTGTATTTTTTAGGCGAACACCGCAGTCAATTTGCGCACAGTAATGTCCCGCAAACAACCATGAAGTGAGTGATCAATGTTATCTGCGGGACTGTTGGTCAGGAACACCGGGAGAAACTCCCTATTCTTTTCAAGTAGTGCCATGGGATTATTATCGTCCACTTCAACAGGCAAATGAGGTCTCGATTTCACATCTCATCTGAAGGGCAACACCTCTGACGACACAACACACCCCCAACAGTGGATTCAAGTGTCAGCCTGGACTGTGAGCTCAAAGTCCCGACATAGGACTCAAACCCAACACATTCTGATTCAGAGGGGAGTGTGTTCCCAGCCGGGCCAGGCTGACACCTTAATTCTCAGATAGCAGAATTCAAGTCAAGAGAAGGTGGACACAATCCTACTTTACATTCATACCAAGCCCCGCGTTTTCCTAGAATTGAATGATCCGTGAGCTGACATTACAGTTCAGGATTTGGGAGATAAATAATTTCAGAGAATTCTATCTGAGTTTTACAGAGATGTAGGCTTCAGACAAACTAACGGTAACAGTCTTATCTTTCCCTGCATCTTTGTACCAAGCCCACCAATGTGCATTTGTTATGGGGCATTGCTGTGCGCAAATCGGCTGCTGTGTTCGCTCGCAAAATACACACTTCACTACACTTCACAGAACATCCTGAAAAGCACTTTGTGATGTGCCCTTGTATGAAATTTACGGAGTATTGTAATTATTACAATGACTGTTAAGGATTATAATTAATATTTGTATTAGTTAAAAACCATGCCAAGCTTTAATTTACCTGGATAATACCTCGCCAAGCCAGTTGCACTCCCAAAAACCTGCCATAATAATGTGGGGTCTTCCTCTTTGTTTTTCTTGAAGACATTGTCCAGCGCTGCAGTCCAATTCAGCTCATTCAGAACAATGGTTGCTGTAAAGGAAGGAACACCTGGTTAATTACCAGCTACCTGTAATAGGGGTTGGAGCTTCAATCACCTAGATATACATATGCTTATAGCCATAAGTAAATCCATACAATACAATTTACATTGATATAGTGTCTTTCCTGTCTCAAGGTGCTTCACACCAGCAGGCTGGGCATGCATTGGTTATTCACTTCATCACTGTCTGTGGGACATTGCAGTGTGCAAATTGACTGCAGGGTTTGCCCACAAAACACACTGTTCTTGGCACTTCCTCTGGCAAGTCTCCCTCTGATTCTCTCCCTCATTCTAGGCACATCTCAAAGCGTGACAGTTTAACTGTGCTTTCGGGCACCTTTCCTCTCTCTCCCCCACACCCCCCACCCCACACACTGGGTGCCCACCCAGCTTCATCAAACTTTTTCAGACATCCTCCTTGACATTAAAGGCACAAAACTAAATGTAAAGATTATTATCATGTAAAAAACCTAAACTCTATTCAGCGTTAGTCGGTAGAGCTTGTGACTCTCCATGGCCTTGAGCTGAAACGATTCAGATTGGGCAATATAAAACCTGCTGGGAATCACCACAAGCAATGACTAAATCACTCCAGCAGCATCAATGAGGTGGGGATAATCAATGTCTTTGCAAAATATGCAAATATGTAGCAATAAAATCAGTGAATCACAGACAAATGTACTTATTTAGCCATAAAAAACAAATAGGAGTATGAATTCCTTAAGAAACAAATCCGTATTGCAGCTAACTTTTGATTCATTATCTGGCAGGCTGAAGAGTTCATAGTTCTTGAATATGTGCTTTGCGTCTCTAAAGACATCTCTAGCAGCTTTACTAACTCTAGAGAGAGAGAGAGAACAAACACACATCAAGCAGAAAATAAGCATTCATGATGTTTTCCCCCAAATAACCAAAGATCTTTACAGCACATCAGGCCAATCTGACCATCATGTCTGTGCTGGCTCTGAAAAAGCAATCTGTTCAGATCCATTTACCTACCCATTTTTTCTATATACCTGCAAATTATTCTGACGATATCTACCTACATCCCTCTTGAAAGAGTATATGGATCCTGCCTCAACCATACATATTGTGCTTGGACTTCATCTCTGGATTAAATCATGGTCTTCGTTGAGTTGTTATGTTGCTAGCAAGGTCAGCAAAGCACACTGATGCTACTTTTAACTTAATAGCAAAACCATCATCTTGGGTGCTCCAAACTGCAATGCTTGGAAGCCAGATGCTGGGGATAGTATGCATTGAGGCACTTCATCATATTTCGCAAGTTGGAATCAACACTATCCCTTTGCAAACGTCTTATCTTTTGAAGCGTTTCTGCTGCTCAGAATGAAAGCATTGCCTGCGAATGATAACACACTGATACCCAATGCTGTGGTGCCAGTGACTCGTGGCTAGCCTTGAAAATCTTTGATTGCACGGACTGGAGCTTTAGCCGTGCTTGATCTGCAGACTTGGCTTTGCCGCTTTCATTTTCACTTTTTCTATTGATGTGACTGTTGTAATCCAAGAGGATTACATTGGAAATCTGTGCGATGGCATCTGTAAAATCATGAAATTCTTCCACTGCTATTTTGGCAGCAGCAGCTGGAACAGGCAAAAGAGATGAAACACGAAAATCAAGCTGCACAAAGAGAATGGTTTTCATATCATACTTGTATTATATTAATTTTCCTGCCTCCCCCCCCCCCCCACACTCCCCCCTTTGAATTCCACATCTGATGTTGTGCTGTATTTTCCGATTCAGAGAATAGGAAGGTCAGCCCGATGCTTCTATCAATGTTACTCGAGTCAGATGCCACAAAGTGCATGAGCACATCCTGGGATTATTGTCCTCTAGGTTCCCCTTCCAGTCTGTATGCAAATACCTGACAGCCCGGCGTGAAGGGAGCTCTATAAATACAAGTTGTTGTTGTTGTAGTTCACCTTCCTTCAGCTTTCCCAATCTGAGACTGTGGGCTCCAATCAAAATGCTGCACAGAGCACCAGATCATGGACAATGTTGCTTTTTGATTAATCCCCCCACCCCGACACTGCTGCAAACACGACAGGTAGCAAACACAGACTACAAGGTTTTCATGGGGTGACTCCGGTGGAGCACTGGGGGAATCCTGCAGTGTCATAGATGTACTCTTTCAGAAAAAGCATTAAACTGAGGTCCTGTCTGTCTGAAAAGAGAAGCGAATTTCTCTTTGCGTCTTGGCCACCTGTCACTCAATGTTGCCTGTATTAACCATACAGTAAACTGCCAGCTTATCGCACTCTGGGTGTCTGGAATTCATACCGAGCCAGACCTGGCCCAAAACGGAAGACATTTAAAAAACTTTGCGCAGGACCACACACCTATAGACTCCCACCAGCCCACTGTCGTAGTGGGTACGACACCTCCTCACCGTCCTTGCTGGCATTTAGTGGCCAGGGATATCAATTTTGACTCATTTGGTGGCTAATCCGCTATCTTCTGCTCGCGGGAATCAGACAATTACAATGTCAGTAGCGGTCAGTTTACTGGCATTGTTTTGGCACTGAAGAAAGCCTACACTGAAAAACGCCGGTATATGTCAGTACCAGCATTGTAATTACACTTAGCTAGAAATCCCAGATCTCCCCCAAAACCCCCCATTGGTCCGACTAGCTGGGGTTTTTAATCTGTTAACACTTCATAGAGAACTTACAGCACAAAAAACAATTGACCCAACCAGTTTGTGCCTTGGTTTATACTCCACATGAGTCTCCATCCATTCTTTGCTCCCTCCCATATACTTCTATTCCCCTCTTTCTAATGTGAAGTCCTACGAGCTTCCTCTTGAATGGATCTAAATACCTGTTTCAACCGCCACTTCAAGCAACGAGTTTTACAACCTCACCACCCTGTGCTTCAATTAGTTCCTCCTAAATTCTATTTTAGATCCTTTTAGACACTCTCTTATACTTGTGTCCCCTATGTATACTATACTATATAATAATAATAATCCTTGCATTTGATATAGCGCTTTTCACATCTTCTAGACGTCCCAAAGCGCTTCATAGAATATACTGTAAAGTGAATTGACTGTATATTTGTGGGCGAACGCGGCAGCCAATTGCATACAGCAATGTCCCACAAACAGTCGTAGATTGAAAATGACCAATTTTATTATTGTTTTTTGTTTTGGAGGGATTATTATTAGGCGCATAGAGTAAGGAAGCTTGCCCACGGTTTCGCCCTGCCTGGAATTGAACTCAGGTCTCTCGCTTGTAAAGCGAGTGCTCTAACCACTGAGCTACAGGACTCCATATATACTGGACACACACGAGTTTCAGACTCACCAACAAGTGGGAACAGCCTATCATACTTTAACAGCCTTTCACATCTTATTTCTAATCCTTTTTGTACAGTACTTTGGGATATTTATCTTATACAAACTGTGCTACATAAATGCAAATTAATATGTATTAAGCTGATTAACAGGTTAATGTAACAATAAGTCATTCACCTTAGGGTTATTTGTGAAATCTTACTGTTCCAATGTCTGCTGCGACTGCCCTCAAAAGCAGTTGCTAATAATAATTAATGTTATCACTGTAATGCGAAGAATTGCCATAAAGACAAGGTTCTTTCTTCCTTTTATACTGAGCCAGCAATGTAGCCCAGCGACATAGTCAGACAACCAAATTTTTTATGATTATTTCTTGATTCATGGCCACACCATAAATACCGCTTACAGTTTCCCTCAGTAGCTACTGGAAACAAAATATTAATTTAACACAGACATCACTTCTTGATGCCCACGTGGGCCTTTTTTGGCCCACGGGCTGGCCACCACTGATATAGTTCTTCAAAACTCAAAGCATTCAGTTTGAATCAGTCTCGACCACAATTCACAGGGAACCTATTATCAGGTCATTCTGCCTTTGCCTGGTCAAAGCATGTAACAAGCTAAATGCTCAGTAAGAAGGAAAAAGGAAGGTGCTGCTGTACAGATATAGGGAACGTGTTGATTGCACTTGCCTAAACTATATGTGAAAGAAGCAATTGCCAAACACTTGTTCATTACTAAAACTGCACTGTGCTCCCAGCCATCTGCTTGGCCCCAATGAAGGAGTTCAGCTCTCTTCTGATATAAATCAATTTGTTAATATCAGTGTGACACAGCAAAAGAAATTGAAATACTTCATCTCACAATGGGCGACATTACTCTTTCCGACAGTTTCCCTCAGATATGCATCTCCACGCTTTTATCACCAGCAAATGACACAAAATTGGAAAGGCCTGACAAGAACAATTTCAATTTTGTAATAAAATTGCAATCAATACAGCATTTGGGTAGAAATGGCTTCGAAGCAGTGTGGAAGGCTAGACGGTGGATGATTTATCCTGACTGTTCTCACAGCTCTGTGCTGGAGTCTTTAAGACTTCATTTGATGTGGCTCAGTCAGTCGTTTATTAGAGATGTAAAAGGGCAATTTCAGGACAAATACCAGGACATGTTTTTTACTCAGAGGTTAACTATCGACTGGAACACATTGCCAGGAAGGGAAGGTTGAGGCCAGGACATTGACTCATTTAAAAATAAGGTTGATGCAGTGATGGGAGGTTGGTAGGATGGGTATTTATATACTTTGGGACATTCTCCTGATGTATTATATAAATGTAAATCATATAATAATTATATAGTATTCCTTGCATTTGATATAGTGCCTTATCTTATCGTGGAGACATCTCAAAGTACTTCACAGAATATATTGTAAAGTGGATTGACCTTATTTTGTGGGCAACTTATATTGGATTCTGGAGGGATGAGATCAGATGAGCCAAATGGCCTCCTTCACCAAAATTCTTAAGATTATTATTGCTTTCTGGGGTAATAATCCATTCAATAAATAAATCAATAATGTGGTCACTTAATCCATGACTGTTTGTGGAACCACAGCTGTGCTCAATTGGCTGCTGCATTTCGCCCACAAAATCCAGTCAAACCACTTTACAATA